TAAATAAGTTTACATGTTGCAAAAATAGACACAAAACAAGGTTTTAGGGTAATTTGGAATATCTGCAGAGAATCAAGGGAACACGGCTGCTTTGTACCTGCAGAAAATCTGGCCCTCTTGGGTATAGGCTGATGCAACTTTTAACTTTTAAAATTCAAGGCTGCCTGTATTCCCTATACAGGAAGGCATGAAAATGCAGGATTATTAGCATTATGTAATATGATGTGTTGAATGCATTGCATTCATTTCTTTGTCATTGAACTTTCCTATGGAAAATTTGGGATAGTTAAGTACTTAAACATTTCTATATTTCCTTTTAGTCAGTAGACTCAATGGGGTCACCATGACCTGCTTGAAAACTGCTTTAATCACATGAGAATGCACTCTATAGGGAGCTATGGTGAGCTAGAAGTCATGTGTCAAACATGTATTGATACATGCCATCTTGTGTGTCCATTGTGGCCTGCACAATCTGTACCACACTTCATAAACTTGCTTAGATCATCATCAGGGCTAGATAATACAGCCACATACAGGACTATATAATAACCTCTCAGCCACAATTTCCTAGATATCCTCAGGAATGGATGTACATGGATGGTACATGAAAATAGTGTCAGCAGAATATGGAGTTGGCAAACTGGCACATTTCCAGCTGTGCACATGGGTGTGTAATAGGGAATAGGTTGTGGTGACCAGCAAAGAAGGATTGTTTCATTGAGTGCTTAGACCAGCAGGACTGAGTGGGAGCCACTCAGTATCTGCTTCTGTTTCAACTAACTGTGTTTGTAGATACATCCAGACCTGGACAAACTGTAGTTAATGTTAATTATCATCTTTTGATATAAGCCAACTTCATACCATGGTTAATGATTCTTACTGTTTCAATAAAATGTAGTCAACTCTAACCAGATTTCCTAATTCCAGAGAAGTGCACCTGGCACTGACACTTTATTCTTTTCCAACATTTTAAGATTTAATTGTTGTTTGAATTGTGTGAATTTATTTATTAAAGGCTTTTTTTATCCTGTCCTATCACCTTAATCACCTCATGGCCATGATGTGGGGCATGTGAGCATGTGTGTAGCATCAAGTGAAGGCTTAGTGTTACTTGAAGAACAGGTTTTAGTCTGATAATACAATTTTATTTTTTCATATTGCAGCACACAGGCACTTCTGCATGTTTACGTAAAGTCCACTGTAACACACATGCTGATTGTCCTATCTTGTAGATTTTGAAGCAAGAGTAAGTCAAATAACCATGACCAAAAATCCCAAACAAGTGTTATCCTTGTACGCCAACACTGATATTTGTAACTATTTAAAGATAGAAAATACCCAGTTTGAAAAATGTTCTTAAACCGCAATCTTGTGTCTATTTAGTAATGCTGGGAACTGTAAGATTTTTTTCCCTGTCTAGACATGCTTAGCATTGCATCTTTATTATTTTTGTCTCCTTGACTGATCAGTGCTTGAATGTTCCAAACATCTCTCTGACACAGGAGCATATGATGTATATTTCTTTTCAAACAGGTCTGTTGTTTTGATACTGAATTCAAGTCTCACTTATTTTTTTTACAATGTGCAATAGTTTAAACATTTTCAGCATTTGGCTTTCCTAAGCCTAACTTCTTTAAAGGGACTACAAAAGAAAGGTTAGTCACCAATTTGTTAAACAGTATCATTACTCTATAAATAAGTTTCTGAACTTACTCTGTAATTTAGACTCCTGAGTTGGATTCTTAACATACCACATCTATGCATCTATGAAAAATGGTGGTGATTCTCAAATTTAAAAGGGTGGTTCTTGCTTCTATCTTTGACCTCTTTACTGCTTCCCGTTGACACAAAGGGGGGGAGAAGGTTAAATGACTTTTCAAATTAAGGCAGCAATAATTAACTACTGGCATTGTTTGTGATTTTCCGACTCTGCGAGCTAATGAGAGAGAAATTAGTGCTTAGCAGCAGGAGCTCCTGATAGTCAGTGCCAAATGCTAAATGTGCCAACAAGTTAATTTTGGTTTTAAGTACTTCTCTTAAGTCTTTTTGAACAATGAATTAGAATAGAGATTGTATTTGTGTTGCACATATGCTACTTTTGCTATACAGAAGCTTAATTTTAGAAGAATACTATAATGAAAAGCTTCATTCCATCCAGCACAGAATGAAGCAATGAACAATATTATTGACCCATAATATGCAAACTTCCAGTTGACTCAGTGACCCAGTTAAGGCGTAACTGCAAATCACAATTTATAGTTATGAGACTAAGCTTGTACAAGTCATTACATACTTCTTTCCTTCCTCTTTGAGCATAAAAGGAAGAGGTCAAAAACATTGACATTCCAAACCTGCCACAGTACTCTATTACATTCCAGCTCAGGGTATTCCAAGTATGATAGGTTAAAACAAACCAAGCGCAAACCATAATTTGATAACCAGGTTTGTTAACTAACTGCAGTCAGAACAAACCACATTTTAATGGTTCATAAGAGGAAGTATGATTAGATCAAAAGTGGAAATTTTCTCTATCTTGTCATGCATAAAAGAGGAGCAGGTATGCGGGGAGTATACAAGCTTGAGGCTCATGAAACACATTCTTTAGAACAAAACATCATTATGTCTGAATCAGGCCAATCAGAACTTGTTCTTTAATTAATTAATTAATTAATTAATTATTAAAACATTTCTATGCCTTGCCGAGGCCTCAGGGCGGCTTACAACATCAAATTAATGGGCATGTTATAAAAAATGGCATCTTGAGCCAGTCAATGGCTATTAAAACACAACAATAAAAGTAACTGCGTCATTTGTCAAGCTGCTGAAATACATTATTTCAACTAAAGTTCATCTACTCTAACAAGTAGAAGCATTTACCTTTTTTGGGGAACAAGGTTAGTAATTAATTCTCCACTAAGGCAAATGCATTGCAGCATGCAAATGTTCTGGTTTCTGAATTTCACAGAGATCTCTATGAAGAATGTACTCATACAGTATAGACATAATATATGCACACACATCACTACCACCACCCGTTCGTGCAGTTGCACCAAGATAAAGGGATTGACAATGGGATCAGTCCTTCCTCTCTCACAGCCTCTCTGCACTTGCGCACAGATCATAGTGTACCAGCCATTACTCGGAATGGGACCTCTCTGTGTACCTTCCACATAGTCAGCCTCATACTGCTCTCTTCCTCAAGTCCCTGGCTATACCATTCCAGATCTGTGCTTGTGTGGTTTTTCAAAGAAAATAGTGACCTTCTGTGATTCATGGTAATCAGGTAGATGACTGGTTTCCATATCTGCTCATCACTCTTCATAAAATCAGGACCAGATTAGCTTTTACAGCCAGAGCTAGTGTGGTATAATAGTTAAAGAGTTGTTTTGCCACCTGATTCTAGTCCAGGTGGACCTTGAAACTCAATGGGCCCCTTTGGACCAGTCACTGACTCTCAGCCAAAGCTACCTCACAATGTTGTTGTGAGGACAGAATGGAGAAGAGGAAGAGGAGTATGTAAGCCAGAGTGATAGACAACAAATACTATCTGGTCCACTGAACTAATAATTATGTAGCATAGCTGAATCTACAGAGTAAGTCTGTATAATGCCTGTTCTGTGAAACCTGAGGTTTTAGAATGAAAGATGTGATTTCTAAGCTATACAGAGCAACTGCTGCTGAAAATATTGGATGGTAATAATTACAAATTCAGAGGTGGCAAAAGTAAGAAGTTGAATAAAGACATTGCATTCTGTTCACCCAAAATGGTCAAGGGGGTCCACTAGGTTTTGTCCCTAATGATACCTTTCATTTTTCATTACACATGGGTGGTGACTTTCTTCTCCTTTTGTGTGGGACACAACCCTGGTACAGTCTGGTACTGCCCGCAGTTTTGAATACCTATATTATCAACTTGGAGGGCATGTAAATTGCCATGGCTCCCTTGAGACACTTCCATTATAATTAAAACATTAACAAAGGCTGGATACCATGTTGGCTTGAATACAGCTTGGTGTGCACACCATGACGTGACATTCCATTGAACTTGTACATACGGTCTCTTAACAGCTCATCCTGTATGGCTGTTTTTGGCAAGTTCACTGTACTATACAATAAATCACTGAAAGAAAGAGCTTTTGGCCTCACATTGTACAGCCCGCTGTAACATTAGACCATAGAAGGCTGTTCTGTTTTTAGACATCCTTTTACTAACCCTAGCATTCATAATTTATGATTTCACTGTAAAATTCTTGCAACACTACACCAAAAGTAGTGCTTCCCTTTAATTAAGTGCTCTCAGTAGGAAAAACGTGAAACTGATGTGCAAAACATATTGCTGTACACAGTGATTGATAGTGATTACTTCTTTATGAACCCAGCCTGAGGGTCTGAACTTCCTGATGGGTAAAATAGGCCATGGGCTACTTCCTGAGATTGCCTACTGGGGATCAGTCAGTAATATCTGAGGGATTCCGGAGGCACAACATGGAGTCTCTTTGAATAAAAACGTGTGGTAAACTATGTTTTGCTTTGATAGTTTCTTGTGTAATCCCTCATTGCAGAGATTATATTTCAAATAATAGTGAGTACTTCTTTGTCATCAGCTTTGCATGCACAGGCACACTTTTTAAATCCTGAAATGTCAGGTCTGAGAAGAAGGAAAGAAAAATAATGCAGAGCTTCTCTAAATATTATTCAGTAATTATATATAGTTGCAGCCAAAGTCTTGCTGGCCTATTATGAATTACTGTGCAATAAAAACACCCCAAATATCAATTCTGACGGATTTATAGAATGAATAGAGCCATCAAAGAAAAACTAAACAGATATTCACATAGAGTGTATTTTAAACTGCTTAAAACATCTCTGCAGGGTTTACATAAGTTTTGTTTTGTGTTCCCAAGTTCGCATGAATTGCTCATAACCTCATGTCCTGATGTACTCATGATGTAGGTGCACTTAAGTTTACATATTATTTATGTCTTTTGTTTTTAATACAGGTTTGGTCCAGGACTAGTTATCTATTGGTACGGGTTCATCGAGGAGTTGGACTGTCATCGCAATCGTGGTATCTTGCTTAAAGACTGCTTCCCTACAGGCATAGTTACTCTTTGAGACAGCATGGCTGAGCAATGAGGATGGAAGAAAATTTAGAGGAAAAGATGAATCCGGAAACAATTTTACTTTCCTGCAGTATAAACTACTGGCAACATCTGCCCTGAACTTCATTTGAACTCTTACTGCCTGGGATCACCCCACTACTACTTTAGACAAACACATCAAGGGTTTCTGTTTTACTTCAACCCTCTGCTGATGCAAGCAGCTAAGAAATACAGACACAGCCCAAACATTATCAGCATTTTTGTCTCTGTCAAACAGTTTATAGATAGCCATAATCTTTCTTCCTTCCGGATGGCTTCTCCTTGCACTTTGAACAAAAGAAGCGATGTGGAGGCTAAAAGGTGTGACTTTCAGTTTCCCTCCCCATTATGAAGTCACCTTTTTAAAAAGCCTTCTTCCACACATACTTTGTCAGCTAAATGTTAGAAATTAAGCTCATACAAAACTTAGTAAATATATTGTGCCAAGCTCATATAGCAAATATGGGGGTGGGGGTGGGGGTGGGGAGGGAAACATACTATCTGGCAATGCTTGTTTTTAACAGAGAACTTACTGGATTTGGGGCACAAAACCAGGACATTTAATATTTTATCTAGTTCTAATTACTGGAACAGATAATTGTAGAAATATTTTTCATTGTTCTGTGTCTTGGAATTCTAAGTCAGAAATGTTTACCCCAGACATTAAGGTGAGTAGATCTTTTACTGTTGGTATTTTAAAGTGAAATAAAGTGGAACATTGAACTTCAGTCTTATTCTTGTAATTAGTCACCACATTCAAGTAAATTTATTCCCCCAGCTTGATATACCACACCAAAATTAATTTTCCCTGGAAGTCAGTGTGGTGTAGTGGTTAAAGCATTGACTGGAACTTGGGAGGTTCAGATTCTAGTCCCCATTTTCCATGAAGTTCACTGGGAGACTGTGAGCCAGTCCCAGACTCTCAGCCTAATTTTACATCAAAGGGTTGTTGTGGAGGTAAAACGGGTAAGCTACCTTGGATCAGGTGGAGGATCAGGTTAGCCACCTTGGATTCCTTCTGAGCAGAAAGGGGCAGAATATTAATGTAATACTTTAGAAATATATTATCCCAGTGCAGAATCTAATCCATATTTAACTAACACTCAATCTACTCTTTCCCCTATTGTCAGCCTCATCACACACCTCACTTTTTTCCACCACCCACAACTGTCTCTGTGTCTGTCTCCCACCATTTTCCAAAGTCAATTCACCCCAAACTCTTTCTCTCACACGCACAGCCCACAATGATCCATCCACTTATAGACATAAACATGTACCCCATTCTTTCACCATGCCTCACTTCTCCACTTCCTTCCACCCAACGCAACCCCAGCCACTTCACAGTTCCTTACAGGTCAGCCCTGGTTGCCTTGCAACCCTTCCCATCCAGCCCTGCCTTTCTTCTGCTACCAGCCCTGCAAGCCCTCCCTGCATCATGCAGAGCTTTACCTCATGCTACAAGGCCAGAGCAAGGTCCCTTCTAGGCCTTCTTTTGCCAGGGTGAGGGGAGGAGGCCAGGCAGCTGCAAAGGGAAGCAATGGCTTCCAGCTGCCTGCCATTTTCCTTTTCTAAGAAGGTCTCTGAGCACATAGGAGGCCACAAACATTGCCAGGAAATGACATGAAAAGTGTGAAGACTTTACTCTGCAGCATATATAAGCACTCATCTGTATTTTTTAATATTTCCTTGATTAAATTAATTGGAAGCAGGGTCCCTCAGTGAGTGCCAAGGGAGGTAATCCATGGGCAGGTTAGCACTCATGAGGTATATGTTGATCACTTCAGGGATGTAGGTAATCTAAATTGCTCTGTCTTGGCTTCTAATATCCTATTTGAAATTCCCAATTTATCATATGCCAAGTACTTAAATGTTGCTATGTCTTTCATGCTCCAGCAGAATAGAAAAGACAAAATCTAATACGCATCCTTTTCATACTCTTTTGATGAGTTATGAGCTTGTTCCCATTGATTCAGGTATTTGGTCCTCCTGATACTCGTGTTCTCCCACAGTTGCTAACACTGTCTTTACATGGTTCTGCCCTGTTGACCCTTGTTATTTTCTCCCAGACAATGTATTGTTTTCAGACAGGTAGCTTTTTAATTTGGTTCATTTTTCTTTGTTAACAAAAATCTGAGTGAGGGGCATCTTTCACAGCGTTTCAGCTCTCATTGCCCCTCTGCACACTGTTTTGCACAGGAGAATCTCAGTGCTCTTCCCAGACCTCTGGGTTATCCAGGTGGTGGAATTGGCCCTAAGTTTTTGAAGTATTTTTTCCATTTGTTTGTGTTTTTTAAAAAATTACACTTTCAGTAGGACCTTATCCCAAGCAGCTGTAACCCACATAGATTCCACCCTTCAACATGATGCAACAGGCTCACAGATTTGCTTGCACATAAACGATGGAGGGTGAAATCCACAGCATGTAATTTGCTGATAGTGTATTAAAATAGTACTGTGGGTGCAATTCCCTGGCAAGTATAGAACAGGGTGAAATGAAAGAGAAATACAGCACTATTCTAGCACAGAAGTGAAATTGTGAAGGGCCTAAATGCAGTGGGCTTTAAGGGCACAGCTGGATTTGCTCAAGGTAGCACATCTGCATTCTGCTGTTTGAAATAATCTGGAACAGCAGCCTTTATAAAATGGCCTAACACGCCTCTCTCTCTCCCTCTCTTTGGAATAAATTAAATTTATTTGCACAGATGTTGAAAATCCTGCTCAAGTCTCATCTAATCTTTGTTTTGTTTGGATTTTACATTAAATTTATGATCGGGAAAGATAAATAAAATGAGGTGCTCGTATTTTGGTATTTACACCCTTCCATAACATAACAGGTTGGGAGCCTGTATTGGTATCCTCAATCAAACCTTTTGACTTTATATAGGCTCATTTCTAAATAATCATGTAAGAAGTAGCACAAAGCACTCATAAAGACTTGCCGTTGAAGTGTTCCAATTCTACTTTCACAGGCTCACCTCACCAAAATTATTTTAAACATTAGTGATTTTTAAATAATATGCTAATGTCTCTTCTATGTTGCAAAATAACGTGTATGTATTTTTCCTTTATCATATATAAACATCAAGCCTACAAGTTAAGAAAAAAAGATTGCAGGGGGTTTTTTACAGTGCTATAGTCATTAGAACCTTAACATTATAGCCAAATCCAGTTTTATGGAGAGAGTATTCTGCAGTCTGCACAAATGAATTATGCCAAGCAAGAAAACAGAAGTGTGCATAAAACTGAATGATGTTCATTCTGGCATATATAGACTTACCAAGCATCTGCTCTTACAAAAACTGTAAAAAGGCCTTTCCTCAAGCCACAGAAATTGCTGCATTTGTTCACAATGAATCAGAAAACTTCAGATCGAAAAAAGAAAACCCAGGCACCCTCAGTTCGTCAGGAATGAGGTGTGGGCTCACATGGGTTCATTCTTGCTTGCCAAAGACCAAGTCACAACTGAGTTCTATTTATTTTTATTCAGAAGTAAGCCCCATAGCATTAAATGGGACTTACTCCTAAGTAAGTAAATTTTAGGATTACAACCTTAATTACCTTTGTGATATTCTGAAAAAAATATTCTTCCTAAAACTTCAAATGAGAAAGGGTAGAATTAAGTAAATGGATGCAAAGGTTGTTAGATGGTGCACTAAGATCATCGTCAGAGGTCCTTCTCTGAGAGCCCTCTCTACAGAATATAGGGAGGGCAGCTACAAGGGGAAGGGCCCTTTCAATGGTGGCACCCCACTTATGGAATCAGCTGTCCAAAGAGGTGCGCCTGGTGCAAACGTTTTTGTCTTTTTGGTGCCAGGCAAAACCCTTTTTATTTTCCCAATATTTTAATGACTAGGTTTTATATTCATTTTGTATTTTATATGTTTTTTATTCTGGTTTGCCGTTGCCCCCAGGCTTATTTAATATGTGCTTAATACATTGATTGACAAGGTCTGTGCATCGGGTTTACGGGACTCACTGTTGGCATTATTTATTTGGTATGTATTTAAATATTTTATTTATAGGTGCATGGTAAGTTTTAAAAGCATTGTAAACTGTTTCAGAGAGCCATTGGCTGATGAACAGTATACAAATATTTTTAAAATTTAGTGGAGTGAGACTACTGCCTGTGGTTTTTCAGACAATAGCCCAACACTGCAAACACAGGCTGGTAGTAGTTTTCCAGGGTCTACTGGGCCAATAACTTTGGCCTCTACTTGTGCAGGTAGCTTTAACAGACCAAGGAAGTAGACAGAATCTTTAAAGAGGTCCACCTGGCACTAGAGTGCTGGACCCGTGCCCTTCCTGCCTCATAAAAGCAGCTGAGCACAGGGATGATGGCTAAGAGGTAATGGGAGTTGGGAATGGCTCTTTATGGCAAGGCGTGATTTCCGATTCTTCTATCCCACCACTACCAAATCTGTTTTGGCAAGGAAAACGGCATCATTCTCACTGCAAAGGCATGTCTAATTTACAGAATTGTTGGGGAAGATAGAATCAAGACAATTATTTCTGGTGAGCTTCTTGACAAGTAGAAGGCCATGATTCCTTGGGATGCTATCAAACACAGAAACAGAGCAAGTCAGAAAGGGCCTCCCAGGCCATCAAGAAATGGTTTTGGATTTTGGACACTGTGAGAGTTCACTATGCTACGTACCTGTTGAACTGCAATAACCTTCTCACAGTTCTTCTGATACAGCTTTCACAATACAGGTGGTGCTCTCAAATTCCTGTTCAACACTAGGACTTGTAGTGTTCCTCTTGGTCTCCATGCTGTTTAACACATATATGAAACTGCTGAGAGAGGTGGTCCAAAGTGTTATCTTGGTGCCACACAACTGCATCTTGCCTTTCTCTCTGAATCTAAGGAACCTCTTCTAGACCTAAATCACTATTTGACTGAACCAGTATCTGGACTGGATGAGGGTAAACAAACAGAAGCAGAATCCAGCTAGGACAGAGGATCTCCTGTTTAATCATAAGGCAAATAAGGAATAGGGGCTCACCCTGTGCTGGATGGGGTTGTGCTCCCTCTGAAGAGTAAGGTCACAGTTTGCACATACACCTCATTTCAGCCTGAACCTAGATACCCAGATTTTGGTGGGGCTGGAAGTACATTTGCACAGCTGGGACTAGTGTGCCAACTACACCCATTCCTAGAGAAATCTGATTTCGCCTCAGTCACACATGTTCCTCTTAACTAATGAACCTGGAAATAATGGGTGGCAGAACCATGGAATAGCGAAAACTAGAAGTTATTGAAGAACCACCCACATGGTGCAGGACCCAGAAGTGAGATATAAAGCAAAGGAGATTTGGATGACTAGGAACCATGGGCAAGGGAACAAAAGCTTTCAGGCTCTTGGGTGTAGGCCTTGAGATAGAATTCAATCAGCAGAGGCATTCTTGTGTCAGTGCAGCAAACAGACCTGACAACTCTTAACCATGATCTAT